CCCCCCCAGGGAGCGAGGCCTCCGGTGGCTCCTTGTGCCTGAGCTGCAGCCTGTGTCCGTCCCCCCCCGAAAAACCGATGGGGACTGGCCGCAGGGGTGTCAGAGAACAGGCTGAAGCAGTGACTATAGAAAATAAAGACTTTTATTTTTTTTCCAGCTCACAGGACAGTTCCCATTACACAGACCATGAACAGGCAAAGGCTCCCAGGCTCCCCCCTCTCGCGCTGCCGGGGGTCGGTAGCGCAGCAGAAACACTGCTGTGGGCTCTGGGGGGGGGGAGGGTGTCCTGCTGCTTTCCGTGGGCACCAGCATGGACATCTCCCCTCAGTACCAGTGGATCAGGTGGTTTTTCAAAGCCTCCACAGCAGGGGGGAAGCTGGAGGGGAGGCCAGCAGCACCCCGCGGGGCTCAGCAGCCCTGCCCCACGCCGGCTGTCATCAGGCCTTTGGGGTTGTCATCAGTTCAGCTACAGCCAGGACAGGGGTAATGGGAGAGCACAGAAACTGAAAAAAAATCAAGACTTGGACAGAAGTGGTGTTCCTGCCATACAAGAGACAGAAAAAGTCTTAAATTCAGCCAGCAGAGGAAAAAATAAAATAGCCAGGTCAACCTTTATTAAACATAAACACAGAAATGTACCATCAACCTCCTATTATAAAAGTACTTTACATACATTCAAGGAAACATCGTATAAATATCAGTATGAAATGTCACTGGCTGCAAGAGTTCCACACTCAGCTAAAATTCTGCCAACATCTTAAAATTTCCTTAAAACATTTTAAACAAACACAAAGCAAAGCCAGCCAGCTGCCGGGCTGCTTGGTTCCTTGGGTCCGGCACTCGCTGTGAGTGCCTGGGCAAAACACATCCCACCTCCCAGCGCAGGCCAGCACAGCGCTCCCGCAAGCTGCTCTGGGCACCAAAGGGGCCGCTCGGCCACGCCAGGTGGTGGGAGGTTAAGGCACAGGTTTTAATCCCAAAGTTCAGCCAACTGGAGTACCAGACATGCTCCTAAGAGGCTGTTTGGCAGGCTGGGACACCTCCCAGGCCTGCCTGCAGGAGACCTTTGGATGGGCTGGGGACCCACAGAGGTGTTCAGGATCCAGCACAGACTCTTCTGTGACTGCAGGGAAGTCCTGATCTGGGAACATTTCAGACCCTGGGAGCAATGGGGCTGTTTCTCAGTGTGACTGACTTCCTACCAGATCTGCTCTGGCTGATGGAGTAGACATTTCACAGGGACCCCAGATGAACTGGACCTGAATGTGGCCCTGCAGCATCTCTCCCCACTCTGCCCCGGGGCCCAGGCTGCTGTAAAACACCAGCACACGCTACACCAGCTGCCCCAGCTGCGTGAGAACACCCGGTAACACACCTGAGCTCTCCATCCCGTGTAGGCAGCCCCAGAAGAACATCGCCCGTGGGCTCCTGCTTCCTTCCAAAGCCGGCTGCTGAGCACCCCACGCCACGTCCCCCTCGCCCCCAGGGCTCTGCTGCGAGCTGGGCAGTAACAGCCACACTAGAATCTGGCTCCTCGGATTTTTCTAATGGGACAAGAGGTCACATTGCTCACAGGCAGCAGCTTCTACATAGATGGCACATTCCTGAAATAGAGTGTTCCTGGGGAACTACACAGACCCAGAGCATCAGCCTGAGGTTGGGGCACAAGGCCAACACCTAGTGCGGAGCTGGCAGGAAGGCAGAGCACTCCCCGCTCCTGTGACCACCTTGCAGAAAAAGGATCTCTGATTTTATTTTTTTTTTTAAGAAAAAAAAGTAAAATTGGAGCCAGGAACATGTGACACAGAGACTTTTGTGTCCAGTCCCTTCACTCTGGGGATCCAAACCCCCTGCTCTAGCCACCTTCTCCACGGTGGTGACCGGAGCTGCCCCCAGGGCACAGCAGAGCCTGTGTTGAGCTGACCCAGCAACTCCCCCAGTGCTGATGGAAATTGTTCCTCGGTAATTAATGCCATGAAAAGAATGCAGTAATCCCACCACCTGCTTCTGCGGGCACAGGCTGAGCGGGTCAGTGTCCCTGCTGAAGAGCCACGCTTTCAGAGTGCTCCCCCGTGCGTCCCGGACACATGATCCCAGCAGGAACCCAGCGATCTGGGGGGGTGTGGGGGCAGCTGTGACGTTCTACTCAGCGGGAACAGCAGCCGTGGGGCGCAGCACGTGTCCTCTGTGCACAGACCCCAGGCACCTGCTGATTTGGTGCCATCGGGGTACAGGGAGGAGGCAGGTACCACCGAACACAGCCTGATGTGGCACAAAGCCAGCCCCCCATGCCAGCCCCCAGTCCTCAGCTGGCTATTTCTGGCCAGTGGTACTGCAGGTCACTGACTCCAGGGTTTTTTTTCTGAGATGGCAGTGGAAAAATCAGCATAACCATCACTCCCAGGGCCAGTGTGCTCCAGGCTGCCAAGTCACAGTGTCTTAGAAAATTAAGTCCCTCTTAAAAAAGTTTTGTTTCTAACTATGTAGTTAGGCTAATGTGAAGAAAAATACAGGAAAACTGAATCTGATTCTACTAAAAGGAACTAACTCTCACAAATGGTGTCAGGAAAGCAGAGGTGAAGGTTAATAACCATACCTTTCTTTGTAACATTCATGAGCATTTAGTTCTCTCAAATTATTCCTAGTCCAGATGAGGACTCTGTTCACATCGGAGCAGTCTGCAATAGTGTTGTGCTGTACCTGATGTTCACAGGCAGTTTTGTATTCCTTTACAGGGAAAATCTGTGGGATCTACGGTCTGGGTCATGGATAGCTGGAATCCAATGATCTCCTGCTTGGTAACAGGGCTTGTGCACACATTGACTGGAAGCCACCGGGATCAACTCGGAACACCAACACTTTCCTCTGCAAGGAACCACGTATCCCAGAAACATTCCCTTATCTTTCTATTTTCCAGTAATCCCATGTTGAGGAAATAACATAAGGACATTGTAATAAATTAACTGCTTTGAACACCCAGGGAAGGAAAGAGGACACATTTCACAACAATAGAGGTATTTTTGACATTTTCATTAATATCTCCTATGGAAAAAACATAGCTCTTTTCAGCTTTATGAAACAAGGGAGGTTCAGCTCTGCCACCATTTTTTTTCTATAAAAATAAGGTTTTGTGTTTACTTGGGTTCTACAACTAAGCTGAATAGAAAGGAGAAGGCTCTTACAAATACTTCTGCTGTTTATCACCCCCTCCCTCTGGAGACTACCTGCTAGAGGAATTCAGCTGGCTTCTGTAAGTCTCTTCTTCAGACAAGCTCTAGCTCTGCTGAGTCTAGTGCTTCCTTATAGGACACCTTGGTACGTGGCAGGGCCTGTGCTCCTGCGGAAACGACCTGCTGTCACGTTCTACTGTACAGTTTGCATTAGGTATGTTTTCTTCATCAAGCTGAAAAGTGAGTCCCCAAATGTAAGAAATTTCTGCCTCCACAGTGATGGAGAGGGCTTGCAGGAGCTGCAGTCACGCCTTTGCTCCAACTTCTTACAGGAAGTCTAACTCGAGGGCTTGGTGAAGGGACACGAGGTCTGCATGATTTGTGATCCTCCAGAAAGGCATGTTGTGCTGTGGCAGAGACAGGACAAAGGCAGGTTTACGGCAGGGGTTTTACACCTAGGTGGAAGCATTCAGGGTGCCCCTGGAGGGTTGTGCAATGCGGTGCTCCCAACAGCGCTGTCAGCACACCATGCTCACGAGGGACTTCAGGCGTGTGCACATCAGTAAACCCAGCTTATCTGCACGCCTGTTTATGACAGGCACCGACACAGACTATCAGCTGCTTTGCCTCAGCGCTCGACTGAGCTGCTGCTTCTCCAGAAGAGCCTTTCCAGGGTTCCCAGGAACCCGCACAGATGACAACTCGGGCACCTGGCAGACAGTGTGAAGCCTGCAGAGGTGATGTCCTGACAGTAATCTGTGCACTTTACCACCTTTAATTAGCATGACTGAACAACCTATTCAGGCCTGTCCAAACCAAACTGTTTGCCACTTGTCAGACTGATGGCAGATGCTGTGTATTGATCTGACTGCTGGCACCCGAGTCTTCACTCCCTCCAGGCTTCTGAAAAATGGCATGACCCCAACTGATAGCTGCATGCTATGATCAAGACATGCTATGTCAAGATACTGTTTTACAGGGACAATGTTATACACAATCCTAAACAACAGTAAAACAGAAACTTTAAACCTCCAAGAGCCAGAAAACTCTCTGTCTTAAAGCAGTGAAAGATCTCTTGCATCAAAGGCAAAGTTTCCCCCTGGCTGCCCCAGCCTGAAGAGTTCAGCCCTGGAAAAAAGAGTCCCTGCAGATAAAGACTGCTGCAGTACCTGCCCATGTATCAACCCACACCCACCCCTGCAGAGTCAGAAACCCACCTGCTTCGCTGCAACCTCTTCGTCACGCCCATCTCCAATTACCACATAGGTGACTTTCTTCCCAAACCGGGACACGATCCTCTCAAAACAGCTCTCTTTACCTGTCAAAAAGACAATCCCACTATAATGAGCCTTAGGCAGAGAATAACAGAAGTCCAAACAGGTCCCTTCTTCCCAGTACAGAAACACATTCTCGTTTTACACCCAGCTCAGCTCATGAGGCCAGAAGCCACCACTATTACATGGACACCTGGATGTCAGCAGCCACAGGGGCTCTTCAGATGCAGAAATTTTATTTCCATAATTCCAGCTAATCCACAGCAGACGCCTCAGTGCCAGGTACTCAGCACAACCCCTTACCTATTTTTGTAGCACTATAAATATTTTCGATGGGAAACACCTCGCCCAATCCATACAGGAGAACTTTGGCAAGAGCTGGCACCAGTTGGGTGGTTGTGATCAGGATGTTCACACAGTTTTTTCTGAAAGTAGAAAAAAAACTTGTAAAAGCACATCTACAGCCAGTGGTGCCGAGGGCTACTCTGGGCAGCTTGCTCAGCTTTCCAAAGTCCCATGTGCTTTGTTGTCCTGCTTTCAAGAGGCTTTTTAGGCCAAGATTTTGATTTGTGGTTTCTGCCTGTTTTCTTTTTGTTTTAAACAGAAATTCTCTGGCAGAAATGCAAGCACAGTCCTGTTATGGGGACCTTCCTAACAACAGATGTTGCAGCAGAAAAATCCCAAAGGGTGCTCAGAGGTGCAGGTCCTGCACTCCTTCACTCTGCTTCCCAGTACCTGTGACAAACAGCACTGGTATCATATATGGACACTGCTGCAACACAGCACTGCATGCAAATCTCAGTGAGAGAAAGGGCTGGGAAAGCAATACACACATTTCCAGTTTCCATACCTGGACTGTATGAGCAGTAGGGACTTTAATGCAGTTTCCAGCCAGGAATCCGTTAGCACTTCTATATCAGTCCTTAGTCTCTGCAGAGCTTCCCTCTTTGGCGGACTAAGAAGGCCTGGAAGGCAGCAACACAAGGTTTCTCAGCCGAGTTGGCAAGTCTAACACAGAGAGAGCCATCACTCAATTCAACAGCTGCCTGTTCTGCAGTAAATAACACGGTACTGAAGGCATCTGAAAGCTGAGACTGTCTCGAGGAAATGGGAGAAACAAGCTGACAGTGACAGAGATGAGCCCAGACACCCACATGTGACTGACTGTGGGGAACTGGGTAGATATTTTTCTCTGATTATTTCAAATAATTTCTCAGGATAAATGCAACAAAAGCATTTCTCTTGTACAAAGCACTCACAGCAGTTGGGTGTTGTCTGAGACCACAGAGCAGGGGAAGGAACTCCTGCAGTCACCCTTTCGGACTTCCTACTTCCCAAGGGCCCTTTCCACTTTAATCCTTTTTAGATATTTTTTTTAATTGCCTTTTTTAAAATCCCCGTATTTTTTATCCCTTTTAGATATAATTTTCTCAAAACATCCAGTTCTGAATTTGAAGCAGCCAGAAAAGGAGCCCATACACTCAAACCTGCTCCCATCAGTAAGTACAACAAGGAGCACCTTGAGTCTGAACCTCTCTCCCCCCAATTTCCTGACATGATGCACGAACCCCCCCCCACCTCACTCCGGCCCTGAACTACACCAGTCCTCGGACAGTGAGGCTGCAGAGGGCCCCACTGTGCACTGTGCTGGCAACTGCTTTACCATGTCACTTTAGACAAGTCCCAAAAAACTCTGCATCCAAGTTTCCCATGTGCAAAATATGGAATAATGGTCTGACCCCTACCAGAAATAAGGTGACTGCAGCATACTGAAATGCAGACCTACACTGATAGATTTTTTAAAGCTCAAAGTTACAGTTCTGAACACCTGTTTTTCAGAAAATGTGTCCAAGAAAACTTCCTGGTTTTATTTTTTTCTTAGACAAAGGGTACCCAAACCCACAACCCACCAGGCCAAGTCACCCTGCCAGGTGAGCTGCTCCAGCAGCAGCCCCTTCCCAGGGATATCAATGCCAAAATTCAGACTAAATGGAAAATTTATCTATGTTTGGTATCTGTGGTTTGCATCATTATTACTACTTTGGAAGGGAAAAAAAATACGAAGATTTTAAGTGACTTTGTGGACAGATGGTAGAGATGTCAAGTCAGACTATGAGCACAACAGCCAAAAGGGTGAACACTCATTTCCTGATGATGGCATGATAAAAAACAGATTTTGTGAAGTTTCACAAGTGAAAACACAAGTGAAGCCGCTTGTGAAGACACAGCACGATATGTAAGTCATTTAGGCCCTTTCTAAGCAGAGTGACAGGCATCCTTTCATACAAAATTAGCAAAGGGACACTGCACCAAAATTTTCTCTTGGATAGAGGACTGACTAACCATCCCCATCTATACAACTCACAGCCTGCACTGGCATGCCATTCGGTTTTGGAAGATGAACCCTCTTAGATTCCATGGAGATTTGATCCCATTTAGCACTAGGAGAATGGTTACTTTTCATGTCCAAACATTCAGGAAAGGAAAAGTTCTGAGGAAGGATGGACACTGGCACCACAAACCCTGTTTAGGAGAACACTCACCTTCAACATTGGTTTTGTATTTGTCATAGATCTCTCGTACCCTACGGTAACGGAAGGCCAGTTTTCTCATCCAGTCCACTCCACCCTGGACACCAACTGAGGAGCTGTGATTTGCGTTACTTCCTGAGCCACTGAAGCCATCCGTGGAGAAACTGTAGTTGCTATTTCAGAAAAGCAGATCTGTTACATGTGCCACAGCAGCAAAATCACTGTAGCTTTTCTGGTGGGGTTGCAGTCTTCAGCTCTGACAGCAGCTAGAAAACGCCAGAGGGGAACTCTGCACAGCCACCACTGCGCCCCTACAGCAGAGACCGACTCCTGTGGCAACATACTCTGATACCCAACTACATTTGCTGCTGGTTCTGAACTGCTGTACTGAAATGTATTGATTCAACTCTTCTCTCAAACCCTCTGCTACAAAACCTTCTTTTGCTCTTTGACTGTTCACTCCTTGCTGATACAGAGCATTCTCCCTGCTAACCCTTTCTCATCCTGCTGCGATAAACCCCAGCACAGTATCTTCCAAACATGGCATCTGCCTCTTTATATCACAGCCGGAGCTCCACAAAGAGATGAGCTGTTCTACCAGCTCATGACTGCAAGCTGGTCCTGCTTGACCACTTTCCCCTTATTTCTTTCTCCCTGACAGACGGGCACTTCTCAGACCTTTCCATGAGCCAGTTCAGCTCACTAATGAAGCAGCAAACTTACTCTCACCCCACCTGACAGTGTGCACAATCAGCTCACGCAGGGATGCAAGCCATAGGGAGACTTTCAAAGGTCCAGATCATGAAGTCTGGAGTGTTTGTTCTCCATTCAACACATCAGGCAATGTTCAATAGCTGCCAATATAATTCACACTGTAATTCCAAAAATCCTAATGTTTTGTAGATCTTCAAAGAAATACCACCCAGCAAACAAACACTGCCAAATTTCCTCCCCTGCTCAATGCTAACCTCCACCCCATAACCCCATTTGGGTTTGAAGTCTTCACAAAAGCCAGATTACATCAGCTATACATGTCATGCATTCGTCAATACACCACCTTAAATCTTGGCCATTGTCATCAGATGCCACGTCTTCTATGTGTACCTGGTCACACTCCTGTTTAAGGAAAAAATAAAGTCACATTGTTGTACTCCTGGAGTATACTGAAATTTGCAGACTAAAAAAAGTGTGATATAAACCAATCCCCTCACGTTTCTCAACAGCAACAAGCCAGGCCACACTGCCTCCACAAAGCTACACACAGCTTCCACTAGCTTTGCCTTCCAGTACTAGGTTTTACTTCTCAGCACCTACAGGTCCTTGCCAAGACTGGGATTTGAAGTACCAGGAAAATCTGGAAAAATCATGTTTCTATGACATTTTGAGTTGTCTACAAAAAAGGAATCCTGACACTCATTAAACAGGTTGGACTCAAAGCTCACTTGTGGTTTGAAATCCTTTTGCCATTTCACAAAAGCAAACCAAACAAAACCCCAAGACCACATTATCTAGTCAAGTATTGGTACTACATTTCACCAAGACAATGGTCAATTCCCTTACAGGAGAGCCACAGCACAAACCCTGAGTGAAAGAAACATCAGCATGGTGGCACTGCCAAGATTCTGGTGCTTAGCACAGCCCAGTTAACCCAGAGATAAATTGCAAATACCGTAGGAGAGGAAGTGAGTTCTTCCTATTTCAGAAATTTCCCACTACTGCTACCAACAAACACTACAGCAGTAAGTGCTGTTGTTGATCATTAAGTTAACATACCAATGATTACCCTTCCACACAAAAGACTGTATTTGATGTGGTTTGGGTTTTGTTTGTTTGTTTTGTTTTTTCTTCTGTGGCAGGGAGGTAACTGTCATTACCACCTACGCAAAGTTCACAGCTGCAAGTAGTCACAGCCACAAATGAAAACTTCATTTAAGTTTCTATTTGCATCAACAACATCTCATTTTCCCATGATGTGCATCAGTGGTGCACCTACAATTAACTTACAATTAACTGTACACTACCCATATCCAGCCTTCCTAAGCTTTAAACTAGTCCTGTAAATTCTGCAAATTAAGTCCAAGAGTCCGTATTCATGGACTCATATCAAAGAAGAGTGATGCTGGGGGGGCTGGAGCCCCCCCTGTGAGGACAGGCTGGGGGAGTTGGGGGTGTTCAGCTGGAGAAGAGAAGGCTCCGGGGAGACCTTAGAGCGGCCTCCCAGGGCTGAAAGGGGCTGCAGGGAAGCGGGGAGGGACTCTTGATCAGGAGTGTAGGGATAGGATGTAACGTTTTAAACTGACAGAGGGGAGATTTAGATCAGATCTAAGGCAGAAATTCTTCCCTGTGAGGGGGGTGAGGCCCTGGCACAGGCTGCCCAGAGAAGCTGTGGCTGCCCCCTCCCTGGAAGGGTTCAAGGCCAGGTTGGACGGGGCTTTGGGCAACCTGGGCTGGGGGAAGGTGGCCCTGCCTGGGGCAGGGGGGTTGGAATTACATGATCTTTAAGGTCCCTTCCAACCCAAACCATTCTGTGATTTTGTGATAAGACATGAGTCAGATAATTTGCTATTTCCAACCGTTTAATACCAGATTCTGGCATTCTTCACACCTTTCTGAATAGGTTGCATTACTGTATCCACTACTATCTGATACTATTTCACAGCACAGCATAGAGCATTGCCATGATGAAAGCAAAGATTTATATTCAAATTCTGTGGAACAGGTGTAGAACAGTGAGATGGATTTAATAATGCATGTGAAAGAGGACAGGAGCTGACCAGAAGTCCATGAGGCAGGATGGGAATGGGGGAGCAGCAGAGACAGCTTGCAAGAATGAAAAACGCAGGGTGCTGCGGGACCTCTCGGGTTACACCATGCCTGTCTGTGGAACCGTGTCCTTCGCAGCTGTTACAGAACCTACTGAGGCACTGGCTGAGCTGCCAAGACTTGTATTCTGTCCTTGGCTTAGTGGCCCCTGAGAACTGACATTCTCAAGATCACCTTTTTCTGCACATCTCTGGTCTCCATTTCAAAACCGGATCAGTGAAGGCAAAGTGCTTACCAGTCCAGAATGCGAATATAAGACAAAGCAGACATCACTCTTTTTATTTATACAGGTTCAAGTAGAAATCTATCAGAGAGCTAAGAGAGCTCATGACACCAGAAGTCTGTAGAATGCCTGTCTCAGATAAAAGAGTACACCTCTTCCATTTGCTTGTGCTTAGAACCACTTCAGATTTGACAGGCTGTTATGTTTCAGCATTAAGTGGCTCTGAAGCACAACAGCCCTCACAAGCAGTGTAGTGTAATTCTAAGAAGGAAATGTGGAGTTTTGCCTTTCAAAAACATTTGCCATGTACCTCCAAGTCATTGAAAAACAAATGAGTATCAGCTACTTCAAAAATCATCTCCTCCATGGACAGACCTGAGCCAATCACTAGAGTTGGATCCTGGCAAAACAAAAAGAGAAAATGTAAATTCACAGTGGTTACAGGCAGAAGTCAATAGTGATAAATCAGTTACATTGCAGTTTCCACTGTATATCAAGCCTGATGTAATTCTATCTGCATTCAACGGTGGAACTACAACTTTCCTAATATTTTAAACAACTTGATTGAAAAAAACCCCAACCACATTCTGGTAATACACTGACCCAAAATGTAACAAAACACTTCAGTACAGCACAGCAGAGACTGATGCATTTTCAGAGGCAACAAAGACTTTTATTGTTAGAAGGGAAGTGTTTGTAATGTCCATATCCCAGCTCTGTATAAAGCCAAATTTTGTGTTCTTTCCCCATCCCAAACTGCCAACAAGTTAAAAGCATCACCTTATATATTTAAAACAAAGTATCATTTTCTATTCCTCCTCCAAAGATTAGCATTTATTTTATGACAGATAACAGTTTTTCTTCTAAAGAAAATACAATATTACCTTGCCATATTTTTGAGCATAAGACCCTGTGAGAAGTGAATGGAAGATTATGATGGTTTCATCCAGGTCCCAGAGAAACACTCGCTGCACAGAGAATAAGAGCAAGTTAGAACTGAGATATTCCAAACCCTGAACTACATGAAAGGAGCAAATTTTAGGGTTCATTTTGTGGTTATGCTCTTTACAGATATTAAACACCAGTATCCATCTTACAGGCTGAACACATTATTAAACTCTTTCAGTTTACTGCAGTGGACTTTATACACTGCTATAGTGCAACTTAAACACTCAGAGTAAGACTCTCTTGGTCAAACTATTTCAAAAGTTTATCTTACTTTTATAGTTATAAAAGCAAAAACTTAAAGAGTGCTTATGAACTTTAGAGCCCTGCTAGGGTAGAAGTTTACAGTCTGTGATTTGGAGAGCACCAGGTAAATGACCTTGGTGTTTACCACAGACACCTCTGTTACGATAAATAAGGAGGACTGGCTGCCATGATGAATAGCAGAGTTTCAGTACAGAAGGACTTTGATATACTTGAGAAGTGGGCCAACAGAAACTAGAAGAATTTCAATAACTGCAGATTCTGCCTGTGGGGTAGAATAACTCCTCATATTGGTCCGAGCTAGAAGGAGCTGGAGGGGACAGTGGACACCAGACACAGCATGAGCCAGCAGCACACTCTTCCTGTGGGTAAGATGAACTGTGTACTGGGGAATACCCAGAGTGCCCAGCTGATAGAAGGAAGGTGCTGACTCACCCTACTTGGCACTGGGAAGGTCACCCCAGATTGCATCCCCAGTTCCAGAGGTAACTAGAGGTGTGTGAGGTAACTAGAGCGGCCAGCAGAGGCTCGGATGGTCAGCAGCCTAGAGGAGAGGCTGTGATGGTTCACTTCGGCAAAGAGGAGACTAAGGGTGATCTAACAGCAGACCACAGATCGCAAAGAAAGGGAACTGCAAAGATGATGAGGACAAGTTCTTCTCACTAGTGGCAGATGGAAAATTGCTGTGGAAAAAGAAGGGGAGATTTGCAGCTTGGGAGATTCCAGTTGTAGACAAAACCTCCTTTGCCAGGTGGATATGGTGGTCCTGGGATAGATCACTAGACAGGCACAGGATCTCCAATCATGGATGTTCTCAAGACTCAGCTAGACAAATCCATGGTTCTAGTGCTGGGGACAGCCCTGCTCTGAGCAGGAGGCTGTACTAGAGACATCCAGATGTCTCCTCCATTGACACCACTATGATTCCAAGGCACATGTAAGTGATGTTTGTCAAGGACCATGGAGAACTCATTTGGGCCAGTTCTCAGAAAACATGGGCCATGGGAATTTCCCAGATAATCTCTTAGTACATGAAAGACATGGACCTGTTGGAGCAGGTCCAGAGGAGGGCCACAAAATGATTTGATGGATGGAACACTTCTCCTGTGAGGAAAGGCTGAGAGAGTTGGGGTTGTTCAGCCTGAAGAAGAGAAGGCTCCAAGGAGACCTTATTCCGACCTTTCAATACTTAAAGGGGGCTTATAAGAAAGATGGAGACAAACTTTTTAGTAGGGCCTGTTGAGATAAGACAAGGAGTGGTCAGGGCCTGTTGGACAGGACAAAGAAAGAGGTGGTAAGATGCCCCATCCCTGGAAACATTCAAGATCAAGTTGGACAGGGCCCTGCCCATTGAAGGGGGGTTGGACTAGATGGCCTTTAAAGATCCTTTCCAACCCAAACCATTCCATGATTCCCTTCCATTTCCACAGAGGTAGGACAAAAGAAAGAGAGGAGGACTTTCACCAATACACTATTCTGCAAAACTACCGTAGAAAACAAGATTACTATTTACCTCCAGTTCACTGTCCTGTGAGGAGGAGGTATCTGCTTTCCTCTTCCCCCTGTTCTTCCCAGGGATGTTTTTTCTTGCCTGCTCATCTAACTCTTTACTTGCTGTTGCTCTTGATAATGAAGGACTTGTGGATGCATCTCCTAGAAGAAAGAAATCACACAGCTCTCACCCCCTCATGTCTCAGAACAAACACCATCATAAAGCTTGTAGAATTTGGTCACAAACCTCCTTTGAAAAGGTAAGATGCTATCTTTATTGATGCAGTAGTAGCTGAACCCTTATTAAAACATAAAACATTATTTCTTTGTCCCATTGTTTCAAAACAGCTCTGTCTCCTCAACTTGGTCCACCAGGACTGAGCTACTTGCTGCATCCTGCCTGCAGCAGAAAGCCTTAAGGCCTGTAACCCCTCAGCTCTCTCACTACCCTGGAACTGGTTTTACTCAATAGGGTTTTTTTAATACTTCTTGAGAGAGCACCAGAAACCCCCAGGCTGGGATGACTGTACAGAGACATGTATTTAATGATGCTTCTCCCTTCCAGATTTCCTGGACTAGTCAAAGGCCTTTTGTGTCAAGCATCACTATACAATGCACGCTGCTTCCACCCCCCATACACTACTCACTTCTGTGCCACTGGGAGCCTCTAACTAACAGCTACACAACAGCCAGCACTCAGAGTTATCTGGAGTGTGTTAATCACACACAAATCCACAACGTGCTAACGTGAACCAGATATACTTAGACTACAGCTCCACTGGCCTATCCAAGAATTAGTAAAGAATAACAGGGATGATCTTGCCCCTGGAGACACAGACTTGGCCATGCACCATGGCCATGGCTGACAAGATACATTATGGAGCCTATTCTGCTACTGTAAGAACACCCCTCCCAGGGAAAGAGTAAAGAACCACCATAAAAAAAAAAAAAAAAAGAATAATCAATGCTTTGATATGCAGAACATTATGACTGTGATGAGAGATACTCTCTGAATCCTTTAGTAACAGTTCAGGCAGAAGAGTTAACATCCCAGACGTCTGCCTAACTAGTTCAGAAATAGGACCAGAACTGCAGTGGGAAGGTAGAGGGCACAGGGGACTTGAAAGACCTTGAATTCAGTCTGGGTCTGAGATGATACATTGAAATTCCTATAAAAATTCATGCGAACTGGTGAACTTGAAGAACTCCTGAGTTAACAAAATGGCACTGAAAACATTAATTACTGGGCCATTCCTTTTCAGTGTCTTGAAATAACAGCTCAATTCCTTAGGTTGTAAACATCAAATAAGAACAAATTCTCATGGGTAAATCTGCTACTGCTCACCCCAACTAGAGGGCAACTGCTTCCTGAAAGAGGGAAAGTGCCTGAAGCACCATGCTCCTTGATTTACATCACGGCATGGCGTTTGCCATCCCTGTCTGCAGCATCCCGTAAAGTGAAGGTGAGAGAGGTCTGGAACTCCACTGAGTTCAAGACTATCAATTTGTATGCTTTGCTTCCTGGCACCACCCATGCCTGCTTTCAGGTTGCTTGAATGAGTTTGAGGGCTTGGCAGAGCTCAGGCACTACCGATGGACTCGGGGAAGATGGAGAAGGCAAAATGCTGCTAAGGCAATCACTCACCACCTCCCACAAGCAGGCTGATGCCCAGCTGATCTCTGAGCAAGAGTCACCTTGGAAGCTAAACCTCACCCGACCCTTCTTCCTCTACTTCAGTTTCTATCACTGAACATAACATCATAAAGTATGGGAAATCCCTTCAGTCGGCTCAGGTCAGCTGTCCCAGCTGTGTCACCTTCTTGTCTACCCACAGCCTGCTTGCTGGTGGGGTACAGAGGGGAAAAAGCCTTGATGCTGTACAAGCATTGTTCAGTAGTAACCAAAACACTGGTGTGTTATCAACACTGCTTTAGCCATGAACCCAAAACACATGAAATGAGCACAGCTGCTATGAAGAAAGTTAACTCCATCCTGGCCACACCCAGGGCACCAACAAAAATGAAAAGAATTTGTATTTTTCTTTCCCAGCCTACCAATGTACAACAAGCAGCAGTTTTCAATTTAAAATTGTTCAACAACACAGGAAGAATCTCGTAACTCCTTGCGTAAGACACCAGAAGCCCTAAGTCTTTGCTCTCATCCTTGTTAAGTTTAGAAAGCTGCATTTTTGGTGAGGAAATTTTAGACACCACCACTGCGGTTGGCACATGACACAGCATTAGTGGAAAAGGCCAGCCAAGGATGTGACTTCTCTAGAATAATCAATTAAATCTTTTAAATCTACTTCTACATCTCTTCTCTTACCAGCTAAAATCCCCTGACAAGTACCAGGTAACTGAATACCTGGCTGCAGGAAGGAAAGAGCTAGCAGGAGCTACTGAGACTGGATACCATCAGCTACCCTAAGTGAACACCCAGCCCAACACACGACAGAATCAACAGTCCCCAGGGAGCTGCTGTTGGCAACTCTTCAAGTCACCCCTGGAATTCCTCTCCCTGGGGCATTTGGAGCACGTGGTAGGTGTCTCCTGAATCACAGCAGTGTAGGACTTCCAATACATAAGCTTGGCTGGCCCACCATAATCCGCACACCAGTGAGACCTGACAAGGGAAAGCAGATGTCCTGTCCAGGCCAGTACACACAGATGCTGCAATCACATTTTAGAAAAAAAGTTTTCCCCGTGTCTGCACATTGTACTGTTTATCACAGCTATTTCTGTTTGTTAAAGAAAGATCCAACTCTTACCGGAGGAATGTCTCTGCACTGTCCGTGTAGGCACCATGGCATTTGGTTTCTCAGCTGGGTATGTGGCTGTTGCTAACGCAGTACTCTCCGTGTTGCTGTCTGCTGGTACTACGACTCCAAAGCCAGAACTCGGGTAACACGTCTGGTACTGACTTTGGCCAAGGATCGTGTACGTAGGATACTCCTGTTAGAGGAAAAGGTTAGTTGGGATAGGATGCTTCTTTCAGAAAACACTATATATTAAGACTTTTATGCTAGAATATGCCTGTCAAAGAGAAACCCCAGCAAAAGCCCAGTCGGACTTTACACTATTTCTTTCTGCACATGCAAGGGTTGAGAGCTCTGTTCCCAACCGCCCACTGCACAGGCAGGTTCTGCAGACAGGAGAGCAGCAATCACAGGGCTGTTCTTCTGCCCCCAGTTTCTTCAAAAATGAATTAATTATGAATGATGTGGCAGTAACAGGGAAGTACTGAGTGGATGTTAAGACATCAGTACACTTTGTCTGTACTCTGGAATTTGTGGTTTTGTCTTGTGTTTTACTTTCTGATACCAGATGACAGTGACAGAAAATGGTCTTGGCCAAGGGTGCCATCCCAGCCACGAGAGCTACAGGATAAACTGCCTTTACTCATGGCCTGATTTCAGCAAGCAATTCTTTTGCATGCTGTGATTAAAGGTATCCATTTATGAAGACTATGTACTCATTTAGGAGGAGATCACTGGGCACCTGAAGCTGTGCTTGAGGATTTTAATTTCTGCTACTGATAGTAAAGAAAGCAGCCACCCCAAATGGCACATCACACTCTTCTGGCACACTCTGCACTCCTGATTCCCTCAAAGAGCAACCTGGATTTGCAAACCAGGTACTGTGGTCTGAACTACTGAAAGAAAATCTCTTTTTTCCCCTTATAGCTCCAAGGAAGTTTATGTTAATGAAATAACTTTAAAAGGCAGTAGCATAAGCATACAAGAATTTTTATGCATGCATTGTATTTTCTATGCTTCCTATATTCTCCTTCTGCAAAACTGTGACATTGAAGGGTTCCTCCAAATATTCAGAATGGCAGTTAACCACTGACAGTGCTGTGTACTACCCACAGCAGGTCACAGTCAGGGGGAAGGGTCCTGTGCTAGCTGCAAGGCTTTCTGACTTTGTTTTGTTCTAGCACCATCAGAATGCATCTCCTACTTTACTGGGGCTTTTTTCATTTGTTTTGTTTGTGTACAACCTATTTTCCTCCTTGCTGAGGGAGAACAAAGGATTTCAAGAAAATCGATAATTATAATCAATCCTCCCTGTAGGTTTGGTTCTCAAAACAGTTCTATAATTTCTTCTCCACTGTCTCTCTTGCAGAGATCTCACCAAACAGCCTGCAGACAATGAAACGGCTTTGAACAGATGAAGTGAATTTGTTGCAAAGGCCAAAGGGAAAAGCATCATGGTCAAAGAGATAGCATGAGTAATTCTGCTGACTTAGAGCTAGATACTGAGCCCTATAACTCTAACACCCATTGTGGTCCATTTGAAGTGATGAAAATATTTGTCTTTCCTTTGTTAGCTTTGAGTAATGTGTCAAACAACGGTGAAGGAGATGCTGCACAAATATAACAAGGAAGTTTTACCTGTGAGATGCTGGCTACTGCTGACGTGGAAACATTAACAACAGTTGAGGATGTAGAGACAGGACTGGCATTGGTAGTTGATGCTGTAAAATTAAGAATTACTGCATTAAATGCTTCTAGAAAAGCACAAGAGATGAGACCAACCCAAATTGTGGAACAAGTACTTACTAGCTTATGAGCAAGCATTTGTGCTTCCAGCAGCACTCTTGTAACAGCCAAAAAAGAGTTGGAGTGTATTTTGAAACCAGTTATATTTCAACTGGGCTTACAGGGAAGGAGAGGTACCACGTCTTTAAAAAAAAGTACTTTCAAATGTTTCAGAAACCTTTCCTTCCATGCCTGCTAAGCAACTGGAGTATAACTGACATAGTTTCACGTCTTTACTAAAAGTTTTGAGAAGGCAACAATCACATTCTGATGTTCAATTAGTAGCAGTTGAATATTAATCAGAATAATCAGTAAAATGGATATGAATGTGTTTAAATCAGTTCTGATAAAAAATACTATTTTTGCATTGGACTTAGCATATTTAGTCTAATTAGATAAAAAAATTCGAGGAAACAGTAAAAATATTTCAAACAGTATAAAAAGGGTGCTTCCTACTGGAGAAAGCAAACATATTTCCCCATATGCCTGTGAGTCTACAACTTTTTTTTGGATGAGATTTTCTGTCAACAGCTTGCAGGTCAAATTATTCGAGACATGTAGTTGTTAGTATAAATTTTAAGATGTTTAATAGCCTTCACGGCACTGAATTCGGCTGTTCCAAAACACAGAAGAGGCTGCTAGAGCAGTCTGGGAACATCAGTCATTTAGCAGATTTTGTGGTTTTACAGCCACAGGGCCACTCCATTAAACATTACTTTCAATGGGGTTTTGGGACCCTCAAGTATTGGTGAAAACAAATAATGAAATCAGCATGAACAAAATCAGGATGCACTAAACCAGGTGCCAAGGAAGTATTTTCTTTTGCTAAACCTTCTTTCTCTGCACACAACTAAAACCAAAAATCACTTTTAGATGCTTATAAAAGGACTTGCAGATATCCACAGTATCTACCACCACTCACTTTCTGCAAATAGTACCCATGTGTAATTCACCCCAAGACTGAAGAACTCAAGATTCTGAAGGTTTCAGTCCTTCTACCCCAGGGAAACAGATCCCATCACAAACTCTTATCAATGTATATTGTTTTATGGCAAGCACAGATACTACCTGGTGAACAGCTCCTGGAAAGAGGATTAGATCCAAAATATGCCTCAAAAAAAGATGAAAAACAGAAGAAGTATATCTTAAAAGAGGTGTAGAAATACATAGCATTTACAAGAGGTGAGAAACATGAAGGGTGGCATCTCTGCGGAAGCAGAAAAAAAGGTTTAGCAATTAGCCCCTGGGAATTGCCTCATAGATAGGAGCAGCAGTGTTCAAAAACAGATGGGAGAGAACTTTGGGGGGAGAACATTTAGAAGGAAAAAGGCTGCACTGCAACAGCAGTAATGGTAATGAAGACAGTCAATTACCTACAGTACTACCTACAGTAGCTATGCAGCTGCTAGAAGCACAGCTGTGAGAGTAAGGTACCCATCACGGATACTCCTCATAAGCATCTGCTAGAGAACAGGGATTAGTTTCCAAATAAAACTCCTTGCAACATGTTACTGAAACGATCAAGGCTGCTATTACTTTAAGAAAATGTCACTTCCTAGGGCACTGAGAAGAGCAGCTCTCTGGAAAAGATTCTTGCTAATGCAGAACAAACCTGCCATGAAGCCGGAGGAGATAAACTATCCAGAAGACAGATCATTTTACCACCTCTCTCGAGATTATCATGGAGAACAAAGAGAAAGCAATTCTCATCTGTACTGCTCTGAAGAGGCTGCTCCTCCACCGAGATAGATAACAGAAGTTAAGAAATCATAGAAAAAAGATTCCAAGTGCTGGAATTCTGGTAAAAACACAGATACCCTCACATGAACTTCATTGTTTATCTTAATTCTGGTGTCCTTCCAACATCTTTTTTAATTACCCGTTATCTACACAGTGTTACAAATCAGATCTTTACAAACAGCTCCCACTACAAAGATTAACAAATCCTTTCTGCACTGTGGGTCAGTTGTTTTAACTATGAATGGGCCAAAACCATACAAAAATGTTTTGCACAGATGTGCCAAAAGGGACCTCACATCCCTAACTTCCCTGCTTGATTCAACCCATTTGGTTTTGCTTCAGTCGTTTTCAAAGATGTTTCAGCCTGCTTCATGTACTGGGGAAGGGAAATTGTAATTAATGGATTTTATGTTTCACTTGGCTGCATTGCTCTCACAGGGAAGGAAGAGGTGAGGCAAGAAGCAGCCGTTCCTCCCACATTGCTCCCAGTGCTTCCAAGCACCTCTGACATGCCACCATGGCCACAGCTCAGGTGAGTACAAAAAGCAAAATTTAGTCACTAAGTGCATCTGACCATTTTCCGGGGTTCAAATATCACATTACTTCAGTCCAGCATCTGGAGACTAAACCATACCCATGGCACTGAGATACACCTCTGGTGGGACAGCAGCATGGTACAACTGTGTATCACCCTACTATGGTGGCTGGAGAGAAAAGAGAGATTTTCAAGAGATTAGTAATAAAGCAACCGTATCCATCCTTCCAGCTCCTGCTCTCCACCACCTCCCTTGCACCAGCCAAGTACCGACCTGACCCCTCAGCAGGCTGCTTGCTAATTTGATGAAAAGGAAATGTAGCAAATCTGAAAAAAGAAGAGTTTCAAGCTGGTTTGCAAAAGGTTTTTCAAAGAACTGATAGCATTTACATAATTTGGGTGACTTTTTCGCACTTTCAAAGAGCAGCCTGCAGGGAAGCTCTCCTCCAGCCACACATTCTCACAGCAGCACAGATCAAACAGTTTAAAGTCCTGCTGCAGAGCAAGGCCTGACGGTGGCTCTGTCACGCCACCCATCCCCAGCGACTCACGGCTCCCCATGGTACTTGTGCAGAACCATTTCTGACACTTGGCAACTAAAGCTGGTGCTGTAAAACACTATAACTCATTCTGCCATGGGAGTACCTGGAGGAGAGTTATGTTTGAAGGAAGGTAGTATTTCCAGTGTTGTCTTGCTCGTGTTATGAATGTGGAAAATAAATTAAGGATAAATAGTACACGGGGCCTTTTACTGTCACAATGACGTAAGCTGAGCAAGTACCATGATATACCACATGGCCTTCCTATCAATGAAAGATATGCTAAAACACACTTATTGCTAATTTTAAGATTTATACTCCTTTACTTGGCACTCATTAGACCACATCTGGATATGACATTCAGTTGGGGGCCTCAAGCACAAGAAATACGTTGATAAAATTCAGTGGGTCTGGCAAAGAGCCACCAAAACAGTCAGGAAGCTGGAGCATGGGCCCTGCAAAGGACACCTGGGGGGAGTGGGACTGTCCAGCCTGAAGAAGAGATGGCTTTGGGGGACCTGACAGAACCCTGCTGGTACCTGCACGGAGGTTATCAAGAAGACAGAGCCAGGCTCTTTTTGCAGGTGCACAGCAGGAGGAGAGAAATGGTCACAATGTGAAAGAGGGGATGCTCCAAGCTGACAGAAGAAAAAAAGTTTCACCATGATGACAGTCAGGTACTGGAACTGGCGAAATCTCCATCCTCGGAGGTTTTTGAGACCCAACTGGATAAAACCCTGAGCAACCTGGTTCTGAATTCAGTGTCAACTCTTCTTTGAGCAGGAGGCCGAACTAAAGATCTCCTGAAGTCCCTGAATTATTCTATGGAAATATCACACAAGAAACAGATTAAGAAAGCCTTAAATGCTTTTTTAAAAACTACAAGGAAAGAGACAAATTTTCACAATTCATGACCCAAACATCAATGACAAAAATCCAGCCTAAAAAAAAAATAAAAAATTTGCACATATTTGCCACAAGCAATAATATTCCATTATTCATCTAACTGGCACATTTACTCCTAAAAATCGCTATGGAAGCTGGTGAAATTTAACATCTGGCTTCTTAGATGTGGTACTTCCAGCAGTTGGAATATTTGTAGGCTAGTTCTATACTGAGAAATTAACTTTCTAGCAGATCTACCAACCTGGGGGTGTGTGTGTACAACTGATGAGCCATCTACCTCCAGAAGTAATTTTTTTTTTTTTAAATCCAATGTCAGTCAGTTTATTTCCTGACATCAAGCTAAAGACCACCAACAAAGAGCTTGAGCTGCAAGAGCATTCCCAGTAAAGGCATGCAAGAACACAACATTTAGTCTCCTCTCCCCTTCCCCTTTGCTCTTCACCCTGTTAAGTCCATCAGCATGGCACCAACAAGCCAGCCTGGTGCATACAGAGCTAGGTAGCAAATACAAACCCAAACACATACACACACACAAAGAGAGAAGTGGCAAAGTATAAAGAAGCATGCACAAACCAAGAACAAACGTGCAAGCCTCTCTATTTGTGGTATCTGGACTCAATTAGGTGGAGAGAGATGCAGATAAAAACCATGCCAAGTTACCTTCAATGGAATAAGAATAATGTGCTGGGCTGGACTGGCTTGTGGTTAACCCTGTAGTGCAGGTAAGAACACTGTGCTGACTTGTAGATGGAGTCTGAATTAAACCACTTTCAGGTTTCATACCTGGCCACAGTGCACCTGAATCAGATAAATTGGACCAGTTACAAACAAATATGCTGGGACCAAACAGCATGCTGCTACCTCAGATTAAGATTTTTGCTTGTCACAAAAGCAAGTAACAAATCACACATGGAAAATGTTTAATTTCTGCAATGGTAAGTGCTGACTGTCAGGCATGGATTAGAGCTGCTGACAAAACTGGCTGAAAAAGAGAAAATTAAGAGCACCAACAAGACCAATTTCCAAAGCTTTCAACTAAAAATCTGTTAGTGTCACGGTAAGATTCACTGTCAGGTAGGTATAAAGGAACTGCTAATCCCTCTGATGTTTGGGCTGAGTCACCAGCACAGAAAATGACCTCTTACAGAGGGAGGCTGAAGTTGGTATCCATTAGGGTCAAAGTCAACACTTCCACTACTTAACTGGGCTTTGGCTTGAGTATTTTAAAACAATCCACAAGTCAGCGATTTTCAGAGACTGACAACAGTGAATAAAGAGCTCAAAAAAAGGAAAAAAAAAAATCTAGATTTCCTGTCACTCAGGAAAGCATTTGTAACAACACTGGGCAAAGCAGAGAGACAGCAAAATGACTGTAATTCATCTGTACAAGGCACACATAGGCAGTGTGGTTTCAGCTCAGGTGCCATGTTAAGGTCTAGTCTGCTGCACTGACAGGGCGAAAACAGCATCGGACTGAAGTAGCTCGGGTCAGGCCTGGTTCTTCAGGGCACTTCAGGCTTTTGTCTAAGTGTTTCCAGACCTACAGCCAAAGTCAAAGGCATTTCTCCCTGGCCCTGGTTAGAAAGCAGAAATCAGTTGAGAGGATCTACTTAAAAACAAGCAGGAGTGTGCAAAGCAAAGGGACAAATTATGTTTGGAGCTAGACACAAAGTTCAGGGCCAGCAGAAAGACCAGCCTCCCTCTTAAACCCCCCAAAAACCAGTACCTGAAGCCACCTGCAGCCTTTCACCCCTCTAGCAGGATAAGCCACGGGCTACAAGCTCTAAGTCTCTTACCCAGAAGACACGTGAGACTCTCCAGAGCTGGACAAGAGCAGCAGCTTCAAAAGCTCACTCCATGCTGCAGCTCTGTCAGAACTAAATTCTGCAACAGCTCTTTGATTTATTTACATACCTGATCTTAAAGTGTTACCTATGAGTCAGATTAAGTCATTCACCTATCTGTATAGCCACATCAGGATTTTGATTCTTCAACTCTCAAGTTGCATCTTCATTACTGTTTCAAACTGCTAGAACCATGATAATTAGCAAACAAAAGGGGAAAATTGATTTAAGGAAGATTGTAGCTATACTGCAGAAACTCCAGAGTAGAACGTATGGGAAACAGATCCTCTAAGGAGAGTGGGACTTGCTGTATTTGTTTAGTCTGGAAAGGGAGTGTCACAATCTTCAAATAGCTGATTAGTTTTTAGAGGGGACAGTAACCAACAGTTCCATACAGTGCAAGACAGATGGACAAGGAGCAGACAGCAACATGAGACAGTCACAGGACACACAGAGGTGCCTAGTAACTGTGACAATGAAACACAAACCAACTCTGGATGCTGTAGGATAATTATCACATGAGGAGTGTAACACCAGGTCAAACACACACATCAGAGGTGTTGGCAGGGTTGGCTGGATGCAAGTGCAGGAGCTGACTCGGGTCGTGTGTTAAGGCACCTTTCAGCCCCTGCTTTCCAGGACTCTGTATATCTCTCAGTATATCCCATATCTTTGTACGTCTCTCAGTGTAGACATGTTCTGTTTTCCACACAGCAAGGCACACTCTTGGCCTGATGGCACGTGTCCTTCCCTCTCATTCTGCAAGACAGCACTTATAAGCTAACACAGCCTCAAGGATGACAGAGATGACGCTGGACAAAGGGAAACGAGACCCCTCCATGTCCAACAGCAGAACCCCAGGAGAATGTCACAGGATACATGTGTACATGGAAAGGCCCCACCAGGATAGCCCATCAATTGTAGGTTTGTCCTGAGTTAACGTAAACCATCACATCCACAGTGTTTTTAACACCAACTTACAGACCCACATACGCAGCTTGTATGTTGCTACTCTTATTTTAATGCTTCTTTAAGAAAATCTCTCCAGACCACAAGTATGTTCCATGCAGAACAATGCACCAAACACCATCAAAAAAGTATTACAGCACAAGGAGGGGTGATAAATTGGCAAAAGCAGAGGTTACCTCTTCTCTGAAAGCAGCATCCTAACTTGAGTGATCTCTAGACTATGCTTGTGTTTGTGAGCTTGCTTGAATTTCAAACTTAAAATACATCTGCTTTGTACCAGTTAGATGGAAACATCCATGATGCCTTCTTTTTGGCACAGAAACAAATACACAGTGGAAAGTCATGCAAACCTCTGGAACAGGCCCTTTCATGCTGGTAAAACATCTGACCAATCTGGCCAAGTCCTCACCTGCTCGATGGAGATTTTGTGAGCAGAAACAATTTGTAGAATTTCCTCTGCATTGTGCAGGTTCAGTCCTCTACCCTCCACCTGTCCACCACACCATGCAAGGTCTATCTTCTCAGTATGATCAAGCAGGTACCACTCCAGCACTATTTCCATTACTGGAAATACAACTTTTAACATCTTCCTAACACTTAAATTCAGACTAAAAATTAAGGTATTTAATAATAGACCTCAAAATCCATACCAAGGCATTTCAGTAACTGATCACATTTCAGAACATTTTTAACCAACAAAAGTTCCTATGAAGTCAACAGAAAATGCTGATCTCTTGCCTAGGTCTTCAGAGAATTTCTACTGTTACATTCCAAATATAACACTGAAGCAGTTAAGTACCCCCAAATTCCAGAACCTTTGGATTAAAAAAACCCCAAACATCCCCCCCCAATACATCACATACACACAAAACACTAGCAAAACCCCCTACATCCTCCCTCCCCCCAAAAATGTTAGAATTAAGTTGAAAACACCTTTTTAAACACCTTGGCCTAACACTTCAAGGGAGTGTATTTACATACACATATTTACACATATTTGCCTTAAAAAAAAACCCAACATGTGACACAGTAAAACACCTAAGAACGTACAAAGCAGCCACAGTACAACATCCACAACAAACTAGCAATAAACATCAAATAAATGAAGTAAAGGAAAACACCAGCCACTGTTCAGATAGAGCAAAAACCAGTGCAACAAGGCATTGAAACCAAAGTGCAGTCACCCAGGGATGAGGAGTAAGTTCCAGCAACCATAACATGGGGTCAGGCACGGTTTGTAGGTAACAGACCATTGTGACAACACCCAACTACAACCAGACAAAAAGACAAGGAACAGTATTTAGAGAGACAGCAGACAAACTGCACTGGCAACTGAAGACTTTGAGTATGGACACAGCATGAGACTTCTCCGCACTGCTTCAGCTTTCCAGGGAAAAGCTCTTCTGGAGGAATGAAGGGAGCTCAGAAAACACAACAAGCAGACCTTTGGCTCCCCAGGACATGTAACACAGAGTCAACTAATTCCTCGTCCAACCAGAAATCCTGAGACATGACAGGTGGTGGAGAGGGTCCGTTGTTTCTAAAAACCTCTGCAGCAGCAGTCATACCTGAACCTTACTGGCAGGGGCTGAACTAGAAATGGAGAAGCAGCAAATACCAACAGCCACCCAAATGACCCGACTCTCCTGAAGAGCCCTGAGCTGCTAATAAAACAGCCCAACACTTGCACCCTGCAAAGCTCCCACTTCATGGTATTCAAGTGATCAGTCAGAACAACATAGCATCAATACAGGGCAAATGAGATTTGGGAGATCGTGTTTGATTAAACCCTTGCATCCTAGATACTACAAAACCATTGCTTTCTTCCTAAGGACCCCTCAACCACAAGAAAATTGCTTTTCGTGAATCCCAGGTGTATATATATGAAAAAAAAAGGCAGGCATGTAGATCCATTTTACATATTGACCTTTCTCATAACAATTTGTGCCGTATTACTTTAAACAGTATTAGTAATATAACACGTCTAATAAAATGGAGCTCAGTTGGATTATCTTTTCTACATCATCTTTCAGACATACCATGACAAATCAATTGTTTTGTAATTTATATAAAAAGTTCTTGCTCTGTCAGCAACAAACAAAAGCCATAAATCACAAAATCATAGAATCCCATGTTGGAAGCGACCTCAAGGGCCATCTGGTTCAACCTTTGCTGGCAAAAGCACGGTCTAGACAAGATGGCCCAGCACATGATCAGCTGAATCTTAAAAGTGTCCAAGGTTGGGGAATCCACCACTGCCCTGGGGAGATTATTCCAGTGGCTGATTGGTCTCATTGTGAAAAACTTTCCTCTTGTGTCCATTGGAAACTTCCCAGGAGTAAGTTGTACCCATGACCTGTCTTTTCCACATCACTCCTTGTAAAAAGGGAGTCTCCATTCTCTTTATAGCCACCCTGGAACACAATGGTAAAGTCTCCCCTAAGCCTTCTTTTCTCAAGGCTGAACAAACCCAATTCTCTCAGCCTTTCCTCATGTTGTCGGTTTTATTCAAAGACATCTAGTTCTTCAGATATGGAAAAATTCATCCTTTTACACTTCAAGATACTACGATTTTAGCACTACAGATAAATCTGCAGGAGGGTCTGTTCATTCAGTTATGTAGCATGACCACAAGCCCCTGAGACAGACACTTCACGGCTGTCTCACAGCTGTGCAGCCCCCTGACAGCACACACGGTGCATGGGAAGGTGATGCTCTCCCCTCTCATCAGAGCTAGGTGCTAAGGGGAAAAACAGCCTCTGCCACCACACATATTTGAGAGCTGGCAACATTATACAATATTTACATATGAAATCAAGCAGGGTTAAAAATGAAGAGAGAATTTAAAATATTGATTTTTACCAATTAGTTTAAAAATTTCATACATGCAGGGGGATAGCCAATCTATCCCCCTGAGGGGTATTTTCCCCAGTGCCTGACACTTTAATATACAGAGTACAAGGAAAGACCAGGCAGCTCCTTTCATTAGCTAACCCACTCAGAATTCAGATTTTTTTCTGTCTGTACTACTCATCCTCAACTCCCTTTACACATCACGGAAGAAGATGGCCATTATCTTCCAGAACAGACTAACACCTCAGAGGTGTGTTTCTCCCTCCATTGCTATAAGGGAAGCACAGGGTGAATAATTCTGTCGTTAAGCTTTAGCTGCTCAGTTGTAACAGGCCTCTTACCCTTCAAGCATCTGCAAAAACTGGGATGGCTAATAGAAGGATCAAGTATTAGAGCAACTTAAGCAAACTTATTTGCCTAGTAAACTTGGAAACATTTTAGTATGAAATCTACATTTGGTGAAAGATGAAATAACAAAGAAGTTATAAACCTGGCCAGCAAAAAGGAAAGGAAAAATGCCTTTAGCAGAGATGCTGTAGTACAGGGTCTTGCGTGATTTCACCAACAAGGGAAGTGCACAAACACAACTGGAGAAAATGATGATTCCAAACTAAGAACTATCTGGCAAGCTTCATGGGGAGACGTCCAAATTAATGTCAATGAAAAAAGCTTTGTGAGAAATAATATTTTATAATATGAAGTCCCATCTAGACATCAGTACAGAGCTACAATTTAAGTTAGGCACGTGCTTTCCTACAAAACTCTTCTCTCCAATACACGTGGTTAAGCTTAACGTTGGCTTTTTAACGAGGCATAAGACAGTAATTTCAGGCACTACGAAGTCTGAAAAGTTACTTCTTACCGAAAGGAGGTAGTCCATAGGTTTGGGTGGTCTGGGGGTAGATGGTGTAGGGCTGAGACTGCTGTAGTGCTTGGTACTGAGTCTGACCAGGGTAAGGGCTCATTGTTTCCGAAACAGGTACAGAAAGGATATGTGCATATGGCCTTATGAAAAAGAGAGAATAAAAGTAAAAAAGAACTACTAACACATGCATCGTCAGCCTCCAAATCAGGAGACACACCAAAAAATTGCTTTAGAAAGGAGAAACAATACACACTAACAGGTGGTCTTAGTGTAGTAACTCACTTGTGTTCCCAATACAACAGGCTCTTGGTTTTCTATTATGCTGCCAGTTTCTTGTAGTGACACCAGGGGAAACTCTCCTCAATGATACCAGAGCACCAGTACTTATTCCAGGACTGGGAGGGCAGGGTGAGAAGGGAAGAACAAACTCCCCGTTCCAACAGGCATGAGCAATTAGTTCCACTTATCATGCCTCACAACACCAAATACTAAAGCTAATACAATATAATAGTATGTGTCAAAATCACTGGAACACACAAAGAGACTGTACAAAAGCAAGCATGGGGGCTTAAAGCCTACTATGCTGCAGTGGGAAGAACTATTAAGATCCCCAAATATGGTGAATGACGAGAAAATAGACATTTATGTCCAGTTTGTTTATTCCTCAAATGTTATGGGTATTATTCAACAGCACTACTGAGTTGTTAGTTACTTGAAGGGACTCATTTACCCTTGTGATCATAAAACAGCCACTGAAGCCAAAGGGTGAATTGTATCAGCTTCAGTATCCACAGCAATGAGTATCTGTTGCCAGCAGATATGAAAGCGTGATTTGCAGCATTACAGAAAGGCATAAAGATGCAAAAAGATTACTCCAGAAAGGAGAAGTACAGAATTCAGTAAAATCTGTTTTACTTACTTTGCAGAATACATTTGTGAGGTATAATCATTTGATGACCTTGGGATATAATCAGTGCACGTCATAACTGAAAAAAAAACAGTTTGTATAATTACATAGGTGATTTCAAAACCCAACAAACAGTGACAATTAAATATCAGCATGCACAGTACATTTTAACCAAGACAAAGGATTCACAAAGGCTTTTTAGTGCCTTGAATATCTGTTTCAGAGCAAATCCTCAAAAAATGCACTGTTAAACTGGCACAAAAATGGTTTTCTTGCCCATTCACGGCATGTAGGTGACTCAGACAATACTATTTCTCCCTTTGTAACAATGTTCTTTCTCTTTACCAGTTGGTACTGTCATCTTTTGCAGCTGTCATGATAAAACTTTCAGTCCTGCCTAAAACCTTGCACATGCCAAAGGATCTTCATCTGTGCCAAGCTTAACACTTCTTTTCTGTGTCCCAGAGCAGAGACCAGGGCAGATGCTTGTTTTGTCAAGCTTTCCTCTTCCCCTTCATTTTTCTACATACTCTACCCTGAGCAGGGCTCTAGCACCTGTCTTTCCTTTAAACAGGAGCAGTTCCCAGCTCAACAAACTTAATCCCACACAAAAAGGGACAACAAACGGAGCTGCAGTGCACAATGCTCAGGGTCCAAATTCAGATGACCTCTAAAGAAATGTGACAGTTACATCTAATGGGATGTCTCCATTTTTCTGTTTGAATAAATCCACAAGAACTGCACTCTACTGGTAAGACAGTTACTCAGTCTGAAATCCAAGGAGGAAATGCTCAAAATCTGCTCACTTGGCTCTAGTATACCCCATGAGATAGTTCTCAGTTACAGCATTCTGGGTTGGGGTGGAGAAGGAGGCTTGAGTTGCTATGTCTTAACCCAAGAGTCATTAAAAAAACCCCACGTATGAGCTGACCTGATACTCAGCCATGCATCGAACTAGGAAAGCAAGGATGTGCAGGCACCCTGGCACAGAATTTGGCACTGCGCAGCTCCTCTGGCACTTCACTGCTGTAGTGCGTGAAACCTTCCCTGATCCCCAAGTGACATGACTTTTGTGACTGCACATCTGCCCAGTACACAGGTTTACCACTCGGATCTCCAAGCACCATACCCAGATTCTTAGCAAACACAGGTGTGCTGCTGTGGATCCAGATAACTCATCTGAAGCTGGTTTCGAAGCTGGCAAAGCACCCAGCTTCCAGCCCGGCCTAGGAGGGGTCCGGGCTCACAGTGTACCTCTTGTACTGGTCCAGGGACCTGGTTCCTACGTCATTAACATTACAGGAGACTGCACTTCCCCTCTCCCTTCTGGAGTGACTCAACTAACAGCCTTCAAAAAGAAATATGGTCACGGACAACAGCGTACTTTGCCTTGGGATTTGCTCCAGATGCCAGTAATGTGCTGCAACAAGTCCAGCTTTCCCTATCTGGAACAGTCCTAACAACTTTACTGCTCTTGTACAATCATGGAGTTAACTCTCTTATCAGTTACATTCACTAAGGGGAGCAAGTAAGTTTGCACAGGCAACCCCAACACTAACATTTGCATTCTGCTACCTAAATAACCCCCTCTTAGTGTAACCTGAGTGTAAGCAGCTGAGAAACACAAAGCATCAGCCACGTGCTCTGAACCTCTGTGCTTGCCTTTGCACATGGTTTGAAGCCCATGTAGCCCATGTAGCCCAAGGATACAACAGAAAACACAAACTGGGAACTGTCGGATCTAAGGGCTTTCATTCAATACTTATATATTCTCACATCCCTCGTGCAAAAATGTCTTTTTTTTATAAAAAGAATGTCAATATTTATCCGAATAGTAATGTAGTAATGGTATTTCTAGAACCGTGACTTTTAAAATAGCATATAAAGAATAAGGTAATGGGGTAAAATAGGAAAAAAATCCAGCAATATAGCATTACTGCATGCAACTTCTGGAATTTATAAATGGCTTATCCAGTTAGGCGGCAGATTTTGCAGGCTAAAACTTCTGGTAACTCCTACAACTGCAACATCACAGCATATTGATTAAAAGAGTAAAGATACAACCAGTTAGCAATGGAAAGTTACACATTACATATTTTCAATCAAGTTGATCTGATTTACACTTTAAGTTCAAGTATGGGCAGTCAAAGGTATTCTACACAGGAATCCTACTTTTGTGATAACCTCCAGCCTTCTTTTTCCAGAAGAAACGACACATTCCACCTCTCACTATGCAATTGTTTTATTTTCTGCCTCAGTTTCCTCTCCATTCATTTCATAAGGAATTTCTGCAGACATCCAATACAGTTCAGAGTCTAAGATTAAGTGTATGGCATATTATTACAGAAGACCCAACCAGCTGTATAGGGACAACAGTTTATAATAATAACATCTTTCACAATCATTACTGAACAACTCAACCCTCAAGGAAAATCATGTGTAAGGTGGCTTAGACATAGCAGTATCCAGCAGCAAGTTGGGGGGCAGTGACACAAAAATATTTGTTAGAAAGAGATATTTGCTTACTGTCAGGAATTAACAGGTAAGCACAACTGATAGTGAGGGCAGGCTAAGGATTACAAGGAGACAAAGCTTGTGCTTGATGAAGCAAAGTAACGAGACCAGGGGAAAAAAAAGAGTAGACAGTGGGAGCAGAAGAACTCCAGAAGATACTTACTCTCACTGGACATGGGAAGGTTTGAACCAAGGCTTGAAGATTCAGGTTTCTGATCGCTGACTTCTGCGTTGCTCACATGACTGCCAGAACAGACAAAGGCTAATTATTAGCATTATGAACTCTTAAATTCACATCCTTGGGCATCATAACTCCTGCATTAACGTTCCTAATCGAGGCAAACTGGCCCTTAACAGAAACTAGCTCTGCATCCTTTGGTATTCACAGAGAGATCCCAAGAGACAGGTCTGCAGCTCCAATTAGATGTTAAACTGTATTGGGTTTGCATGGCAAAGCTTTAGTAGTGTGGGTGGCTACAGGGGTGGCTTCTGTGAGGAGCTGCTGGAAGCTTCCCCTGTGTCTGAGAGAGTCAGTGCCAGCTGGCTCCAAGATGGACCTGCTGCTGGCCAAGGCTGAGCCCATCAGTGACAGTGGTAAAAAGCGGGGGGAAAACTGTGCAAGAGAAAACTGCATGTGGAGAGAGGAGTGAGAATCTGTGAGAGAAACAACTCTGCAGGCACCAAGGTCAGTGAGGAAGGAGGGGAAGGAGGTGCTGCAGGTGCCAGAGCAGAGACCCGTGGGGGACCCGATGTCAGAGCAGGGGGAAGCCCAAAGGAGGCTGTGACCCCGTGGGACGCCCGTGCTGGAGGACCTGTGGACCCGTGGGGAGAGAGGAGCCCACGCTGGAGCAGGTTTGCTGGCAGGACTTGTGACCCCGCAGGGACCCACACTGGAGCAGTTCAGGAAAAGCTGCAGCCTGTAAGAAGGACTCATGCTGGAGTAGTTCGTGGAGGACTGTCTGCTGTGGGAGGGAGCCCACGCTGGAGCAGGGGAAGAGTGTGAGGAGTCCTCCCCTGAGGAGGAGGGAGCGGCAGAGACAAGGGGTGATGGACTGACCACAACCCCCATCCCTGCCCCTTCACTGCTGGCGGGGAGGAGGGAGAGAAATCAGGAGCAAAGCTGGGCCCAGGAAGAAGGGGTTGGTGGGGGAAGGCGTTTTTAAGATTTGGTTTTACTTCTCATTATTTGCCTCCGATTTTGGTAATAAATGAAACTAATTTCCTCAAGTTGAGTCTGCTTTGCCCATGACAGTAACTGGTGAATGATCTCTCCCTGTCCTTATCTCAACCCACAAGTCTTTCATTATATTTTTTCTTCTCTGTCCAGTTGAGAAGGGGGAGTGATAGAGAGGCTCTGGTGGGCACCTGGTGTCCAGCCAGGGTCAACCCACCACTTCAGCTCCAGCACATTCTCAAACTCCACTTACCAACTGGTCTCTCAAGACAAGGCTGGAGCTTCACTGTCAGCTCAGCAAACTTAGCAGCTTCGAGCTGCTGCCTGCAGCAGAAAGTATGAATTTCTTTCCTGCTGCATGGGCACAGCTTCCTGCTCCCCTGTGTCAGCTCAGGCACCCTTCAGGCTCTCCACAAGATTTTAATTTGCTCATCCAGCACAACTGTGCAGCTATTTTTGCTGGGATACCGAACAGACTCTGCTCATGGAGGGATGCAGCAAGCACCATGCTTAGTGCACACTGGAGCTACAGGCAGAACTCCCCCTCTCAGCAGCAATAAGCAGTTATGTTGGCTTCTTCACCTTATAAAACTGCAGTGTGAAAATACCAGAATAACACACAGATGCCTCAAAACTTAATGAAAAGCTGTGTTGCAGAACTAGCAATAAAAAAACTAAAGCCAACCAGGCAATCATAAAAGGAAAAAGCAGTTTCATGAAGAAATTAGCTGTACTCCCTACTCTACATATGAACAAAGCAAACATTGTCACATAACTGAAACAGTGCGTGACAAATCCAAAATAATCTAGTAATGTGCAAACATTTCTTAAGTACAGAAGTGACACCCAGTGCAAGGATGCTTCAACACTGGTCTCTGGGGACAAACTCTGCAGCGAGGCAACCTGCCACGGACATGGGAGTCTGTGACAGCAGGGCCACCACATACCCCTCACGGCAGCATTTACTCAGCTCCTGCAGGCTGGGGGAAAGGAGAAGCCAAGGAGTGTGTGATATCAACCAGCAGTGCCCTGGTAGCTGCGTCCTGCCCTGGACTGCTCCTTCACTGTGACAGGCCCCTTTTGTCCAACACCTTGCTCCAGGATGGGCTGCAGATAATCCCCTGGGGCAGGAGGTAAAGCTTTCCTGGGACAGGGTAAGGGGGAAGCTGGCTAGTAAGTGCCATAGGTTTGGTTATGAGGTAAGTGTGTTCCCTTCCTTGGGCTGGTGAGAGGGAGCAAAGCTTAACCAAAATACATAATCTGGCTTTTTCCCCCTGAAAACCTTTAAAACCAGAATCCTTGGAAAGTTTTCTCAATATATTCTCAACAGCCCTGCATAATAAAGCATGAGTTGTACAAGAAAACATATTTCTACACAGACTCAGAGTCTGTGTGTACTGTTGCTCTTTGTGGAAAGAAATGTTGTGATTCTGGGGCACAGACAGTCAACCTACAGCTATTAAGTGCCATATGGTTCGCAAGTAGGTTGAGAACTGCTTGTTGTGATCACTTCCTGTGGAAAATGTAATGATAAAATACAATTTCTGACTATACCATAACAGCCCATGTTTTTGCTGTCTTTCTCACTGCTGCTCTTCAACACATGCAGCTGTGGCCCTTGGAACACATCTATCCCAAGTGCTCTTATACTCCATCAGTTACAACTTTTCAATTCTCACGGACTCAGAGACAAATTCTCACTTGCACTGTGGCTGCCTTGCACCACCAAGAGCATCCCACAGGCTGGCCTGACCCACAGAGCACAAGGTATTCACAAAAGTATTAAGACTCTTACAGGTGCTTAATGCTCCCAAGAGATACGACCCTCACTGTGTACAGCTCTTCTCTTCCCCACATCCACAATCCAGCTAAAACAAATACAGCCAGAGAATTGACACTGGCTGAAAATAATGTTGCTGAGGAGAAACAGGTCTAATAAATTATTTTAAACTGTTCCATAGGTCAAACTTAAAATCATATATAGTTTTACCAAAATACAGACAGAATATTTAAACAGAATATTTAAGCAGGTTAGAAATACAATTTTATCCCTCCCCCTATTCTATTTTTAAATACTATACAAGGAATTTTACACTCAAATCTTGAGGCTGCTGCTGCTGCTGCCTGTAGGAAAGCTGTGATTGCACTGAAGCAGGGTAACATGCTGAAGGAGAATCAACACCATTCACTGCAGCATGTTCAGACCTGCCCGTGCTGCCCTCAGCTCATTTATAGCCAACAGAGAGAAAAAAATCCTAGGACATGGTCCATCTCATGTCATAGCAGCCAGAAAAGGGAGCCTGCAGTCATCAGCTCAGATTTCTAACTTTTAGACATATAATGAATTTCACACACTGCTTGTTCACTGGTTCCTGTTAAAGTATTCCCTTTGATTTTTAAAAGAAATATCTACTAATGTCCCCATTCGGGGATTCAACATACCACATCCACTCCTGCATGAATGGCATGCACACTGTTCCCTCCTCATTCACACTGGGCTGTCCGAGGCTTCAAAAAGAAATCTTTCTTCACAGTATTTTTTACTACTCACAGGAACAGAGTAAACCCTAATACAGCTGTTCTCACTATATAATAATAGTGATTAATTCCTAAATATGATATGGATCAGAAAGCATCTAATGAGGCTAAAAATAGTACAACACAACAGCTTTAAATAGAAGCTATCAATTTGAGAGGGTTTAATTTCTCAAAAACAGTTATCCACATAGTTTTTCTGAGAATCACAGCACATATATTATTAAAACATTCTGAGTCTCACCAGAACAAATGCATGTTATGTGCAGTACATGACAGTCTCATCAGATTCCATGAAAAACAGGATGCTTGATGATGCAAGTAAGACTCTTTGTAGCTAGTTTTATAAAACCTTAATAACAAAGGGCCAGGTTTTGGGGTTTTTTTTAATTGGGAATTGAATCTAAAAATTATATCAAATATAAAAGTAACATATTTGCCCTATCTCTGTGAAATATAAAACCATATACAAGCTTCTAAAATGGATAACGATAAAAGAACATTAATAAAATCAAAATTACATACCTCAAGCTTTGTTCTCTGGATTCCTGCATCTTGGCTTTTTTCACCTGCAAAGACAAAACCACTCAGACACACAACTAACATGAGCTGTCCTTGAATCTATGCACACAGACCTCGGTTAGCAGATCTCCACTGGTTACTACAGAGTTCACATCAGTGTTTAAATACAGAAAGCCTTGTACTGAGCTCCACAGCTGACCAGTGTAACCATGCGTTCTTCATCTCAAAACAAGCTTTTTCCTAATTAGAAAACAAGTGCCAATACTGAACACGTTAACAAAATTGTCATGTTATTTAAGTAACAGATGATGGGATATACAGCTACAAATGTCTGATAAGGACAATTTTATGGAAATTGAATAAAAGAGCCATAAATTTTAAGAAATTCTACATAGATGCAGCACAACTGTTATAAAATTGGGTTCTTTGCTTTTTTCCCCCTTTATTTAAATGTTATATAAAGATAGGAACCTGAGTATTTTTTTCTGTAATAAATTAGGAGCTATGATTTTCCTTTCTGAGTAAAAACAAAACAGCATTTACTGTTTTTATATGTGGCCAGCTGGATCCAGTTTCTGTACAAGGTATTACACAACAGAAAGCACTGGCTTGAACACAAATTCAGTTTTCTGCATGCAGGCGACAAATACTACTTTGAAATCCTTGGTAGATTGACAGGCTGAGTTTCTGTAGACTGTAGTCTTTTGAGCCAGATGTTCCTGTGATATACAGACTTTTCTCTCCCCCAACTTCTCCCTCTAGCAGAAAGTTTTACAGCCTCCCATGTTTCTGAAGCACATTTAGATGCCAAACTTGCTGTTTCAGTACCCAGCTGCATTCAGGGCTCACCCCGGGCCCCGCAGGGCACTCAGCAGCTAGCACTGTTTAGCACGTTTTCTAGGAAGGGGGTCTGGGAAGGTACATGTTGGGTATCAGGCTGCAGGGATTACAGCCCCCCAACTTGGGTACAGTAATCAAAGAAAGACTGCTGCCACATATGAAAGCTGCCAGCATAGAGGCATCACCATGTTCAAGTTTGTCTCTCTTAGGTGAGTATAAATAAAATGCCAGGAAAATGCAATTTGAGCATGAGAGGTCAAAATGTGCTCAGAATTTTCTTTAAAAATAAATTAATAAAACACAGGTGAATTCCTGTTGGGTAGAGGGAGGTGGGAGGCAGAGATATAAAAAAGGATAATGGCTCAAGGAAGCAGCAAGGGGAAAGCAGTAATCAACAGTAAGGATGGAAAGGAGAAAGCTGAAAGGACAATCCTCTCTTTCTGATGAAGTTACCAGTATTTTAGAGTTCACTGTGCTTTTATCTCTGCACTAGTCTTGCCAGCAGCTATTCCCTCCAGAATTTCACAGCAGAACACTACAAACTTCACTAGCCCTCATCACACACATAAACAAGGCAAAGGCAATGACAAAAGACTGGCAACACAATGGCTTAGATACCACACAGACTCAAACCTTCTGGCATTCATCGATTCAACCTGAACAAAGAGTTGGTAACACTGACATTGACCTTAGCTCCTGTTGTCATTCTTCAGCCCCACAGCTTCACAGGTTTCTCCAGAGCCCTTCTGCTGCCTGGCCAGGAATACACACTACTGGTGCCCACTGCCATTGAGGTCCAATGCCTAAAGGAGCTGCATCAGTCTGAAGATGATAACTACAACACTAAGGGATGGCAGTCTAGTGTTCCTCCAGCTCCCTCGGGTATCGAGTTATCAGAGCATGGCTGCTGCCCATCCATGACACCCCTCAACCCTTCTTGGCATCCTTCTGTCCTGCAGCAGGTGCTTCAGCCCTTCCCCGGGACCCTGCCACCCACTCCTGAGCAGGGACATCAGCCACCAACACTGCACCAGATAGCCCTGTGTGCCAAGCTGCTCACAGGGTTCTTAAGGAAAGGAGATAGAAGAAAATGAATCACACCAGAAAAAGCAGCAGCAAATGGCTTCAGACCAAAGTTACATTGAGGATAAAAATAAACTTAAGAGTTGGCAGCTTGAGTTTGAGATTTCACAGGAGGAATGCTGCTGTTTCCAGTCAGGTACTCAATAAGCTCTGGCTTCTTCATTTCAGTAGGGTTTTGTGTTTTGTTTGGTTTTTTTTTTTTTTTTTTACAAAATACCCCAACGAAAAGCCCCAACTTCCCCCCCCCCGCCCCCAAGAAGCAAGGTTTTGCAAGAACACATCAACTTTATTGACATTTTTATCACAACCAGAATGGAACAGCTGTTCCTAAAATGCCTCTTGATAGCCAGGACTTGAGCTCAAACCACTGCTGGGCTGCTCTGATGACTTTGGTCCCTGGACTGGAACTTCCATCTTGACGAGCATCTACAGCGCAAGGCCACTGTGCCTTGTCCTCTGATGTGAGACCTTCCCCCCCGCCAGAAATATGTCCTTGGTGTTGTAAAGAGAACAATGTTTTAAATGAGTTTTCCTTTAAGTCAATAGTTAATTTCATTTTTTAAAAAATCAGTAAATATCAGGAGAGGGTTTCATACTCTCTTTAAATTAGTCTGGAACATGGGATAACAGTGTAAGTATGCAGCATATGTCAAGCAAAACAGCAATTTTGAATTTCAGTCTATCATGTCCCTGCCTCAACTGGCTAGCCTCGGCTAGTCCCTATCTCTGCAGGTTTTTAAAAGAAATGTCTTAATGGTAAGCAATAACATTTACAAAATCTTGAAACTTCAGTAGGATGCAAACCCCATTTTCTATCCATCACTAATCACTACAATTTACACTAAAAGTTTAAGTGGGAGGGAGGAGTTTTAAATGTAGTCTTTCATGGGCTTGGAAAGCATTTTCTCTCTCTCCTGACACGTCATAAAACATACTTAATGCAGGAACAGCACCTGGTAACAATAACTTACGGATGATGTCTGGGGCACAAGGAGAGAGTGCTGCCATAATGTGCTATAATCCCAGCCCTGCATGATCACACTCCGGCCTCAAACCCTGCACAGGGAACCTACCCATCCTCTCCTGCATGAGCATTAGAGAAGGCTGCTGAAACCTCTTCAAATGCCTCCTTTCAACACACACTCCCCTCTTAGAACCTCTGGAGAGGTGCTGAGAGGTTTTTTGTACCCTCTTGAGTGACAGGATCACAGTTCAAATATTTTTCGTGCAGGAGAAGTGAATTCACCGATTTTAAAAATAAAAAAAAAACAAGGAAAAATATATGGACTACCTTAGTGATTCAAGTTTCAGCTTTAGCAATTTCAGACATTATCTGACTAAGCTGTTCTGCTGCACTACAATGAATGACATATCTTTGCTCCTACCTCCATCTTTTTATTTCACTATCAGTTTTGAGCTTATGTTGTTTGTTTGGGTTGGTTTTTTTTTTAAAAAAAAAAAAAGACAAAAAAGTCAAGTGACATTCTAGCTGTTTCTATAACTGAAAATCCAAATTATTTTTTGTGCTGGAAAACTCTGTTTCTGTCCCAGATCTACCAGTGTTGGAGTTCAGCTGTATTTAGAGTCAGAATCAAAGCAGAAACAAAGTTTTCCTCCTAATGTCAAGATAAAAGTTGCTCTACGACTGAATCCAACTCTAAAACTGATATTCATAGCCTAGGGACACCCCAACACACACAGCTAGCCAACAAGGAAGGTGATGACTTGTTGGAGAAAATGCTGCCAAAGCCATTTAACACTGCGGCAATGCCACTGTGAACAGAGGACTGCACACAAGTCAGGAATGCAGAATTTTATTGCAAGCCCTTTGCCAATTTCAATTAAGAAAAATGTTCAGCCCAAACACATGACCATTGTTTTTTCTCTACACTTTCGGCAGCGTTGGGTCTTTCTGGAACCATGCTCTCCCTACCACTGACTCTGGCTTGCTTTTGCTGTCTGATGTGAGAACTCTTTCCAAACATGTCTTTCAATAAATGTAACACAAGTTCAACATCCCTTATAAAAAGATTTTTGTAATTTTATAGCATTAAGGATTAAATAAAGTATTATAGAAATCAACTACATGCATCCACAATGCATTCAACAAGTGAGAGATTACTATACATGATTACTTCTAAAAACTAATCCAGATTAATAACTTATTATAAATTAATAACTTTTTTTGTGATGAGAATGTCAGGAAGTCACTTTGAACAATTTTCCCCCAAACTCCCCTTCGCTCTCTTATTTCCCATGTCTGTTTCTGGTTTATAGCACTGCAGTGTGCACAGAAATTTCCCATTCTAATTCAGACTTGAAAAGGGAAGAAACATTCCAAAAAAGGGATAAGAGACATGCCTGTTTAACATGCCAGGCACTATTATGTGAGGTGAGAAGTCTAACATTCATTTAGAAAAGACAGACTGTATACATTTGGACCAATCATTACCACACCAACACAAGAAAATGACCGGATTTCTTTTTATTATTATTATTTTTTAATACACTGAACCCAAAGCCTGATGACTTCTCTACAGGCTCCTTTCTGGATTCAGTTATCAACAGTTTATTTTTTGAAGCAACATACTAACTGTGTTCCCATGATTAAGAAAAGGAAAATCATTTGTGAAAGAAAGAATTCTACATTATCAACATTGCGTTACTAGTCTGACAGGATTTTGCAAAGCCAACTGCATTTTTTTTTTTAATTAGGAAAATTCACTTGTTTCAGAAATGGTCTTACTACAAAAAAATGAAATAATTGTTCTTTTCATTTCCCCCTGGCAAGAATGTGCTACTGTATGCATAATACCACCTCACTTACTTATCAATATAATCTCATATTCTGTCTCAGAATAACTGACTGGCATAAGATACTTATAAGAAATTACCAAGAAAATCTTCAGCTAAAAATTACAGAACTTCCTTACAGAGGATGCTTTCATGCGCTGAAAGTTAGCTGTACCCTGTCTCTCATGCCTTGAAGAATAAAATTTTATAAAGACAGTTTTCATTATATAAGGATATAATTACAGATATTTCCTTTTTAAATACACACATTTCATTTTTTAATCCTACAAATATCTGGAGTTCAAATTATGTATTTTACTGATTAGTTTCTCATTCTGTGCATATTGACTCGGGCATATAATCTGTATGTTGTGTCAAGCAATATTCTGAATAATTGTAAATTTACATTTCCATTTCACTCAACTTTGTTCCTAAGTCATAAAATTGTATAAATGACATTACAATGTATTTTCTAAATAGTTAACTGAAGAACATAAAATTTTCACATTAAAAAAGCAGCAAAATCTTTTCAATGAGGACATCACCAAATTGCCCTCAGCATATTACTCTGGTTTTGTGTGCATTTGAAAAGGTCTCCAAAATTAAAATAAGCTTCACTCTGAAGGTAACTTGGCAATTTGTAACTTTTCATCAGGATTAATTTGGGAATATAACATTAATACAAACTTTTCTGCTTAATTCCTATGCTATTATGCGTTAGATACATTAATTTAATCTCATATCGCACTGTATTAATAATCGCTCTACCCAAAACTTCTGTGACATGATATTATCAGTTACTGATAATACAGACAGTATTGCAAACATGTTAGATGTCTGGACAGCAATTTTTAACCTAAGACATGTTTCCTTACTCGAACATACTGTTAAATTAAGACTCTATAAAGTGCTTTCCACCTATGGAGATGATGGATCATGAGACCTTTTCAAGATCTCAAGCACAGGAAGAATTAAAGACTATATACACTGTAATAATCCGCGTGTTGATTCTGTCACTGAAAGAGTGAATTTTAGTTTCTCTAGACGAAGCTTGAAATAGTCTTGTTTTCTCATCATAACAAGTGAATAACTTACATAGAAACATCATAGAGTTTAAGCACACATAACTATTCCTTTTATTACTAATGCCTGTAAGATTATTGTAAATTAAATGTACAACACAATTTACTAAGAACAAAATGATTTTTCACCTCTGGATAAATATACTAAGCATAAGCCTTATTTTCCATTATTAATTCAAATAACTGTATATTGAATTTGTGAGATCACCAATTTGTTTTATATGTTCATTTTTAGCCTTTTAAAATGTACTTACTGGTTGTTCGGGTAAGTCTTGTGGCTCTTCCATGGGTATTACTATTTTAATGCTTAAATGATTCAAATCGTGTGTTCCTCGGCAGTCTTCAAAGCCTGTCAAAAAAAGGTGTTCATAGCTTTATGTACTTTTGGGGGGGGTTATCATTTAGGCTATCAGAGAACATTAATTGTTATATATTCCACCCACAAGCTTTCTAAACTCATGTTGCCATCTCCTAAGTAAAAGATGAAATTCATATACGGAAAGATTTCATAAACAAGGGATTTAGTTTTAAGCTTCAAGATCCAGACTTTTTCACGCACGTGGCACATTTCTACAACATTTACTTGTACCATACTGACTACAGAAGCTAATGTCTCAATCAGACATGTGCACCATGATTTTAAAGACACTTTAAATGATCAAGTCTGGTCTACTAGGTCAGTAAACAGCGTGATTCAATCTAACCTGTTTTAATTTAGAACATTTATATAACGAACAAAAAAAAAATCAGGACAAGACTGTACACCCAAATTCACAAAAGAGGGTTATTATTTCAATTTCCCTTTTCAAAATGAGAAATTTGATGAAAATTTATAAAATAAGTTTTATTTTGGAAGCTAAGTAACCCAGTAGCATTTAGCAGAGAGATTTTATATACTATACCAAAGAGCTGCTATTCCCCAGGGTTTTAAAACCATGAAAAGGAAATTTTGCAAATTACTTTCACAATCTGATTAATTTTTGGAATTTGCTGAGCAAAAGATAAAGGTACATGTCCTCCACGGCTTCCCTCTCTGTCTGACCGGTGTGCGTGAACAGTGTGACCTACGCATTTGATTGCTCTTCTTTCACCCTCTCATTTCAGAACCAGTTTATTAAAAACAAACCCTAACTTCTTCAGACAAGCTTCACCTCAACTGTATCAAAAGCAAACAGGCACCTTCTCTTCCATCCCAGCAGAGCTGTTTCTTCCACATGCACATGTGCATTACTGCACACAGAGCAGGACATAACCAGATTACAGAAATTAGAAGAAATGCTGAAAAACATTTCGTGGTTTGGAAGAAATGAAATACAGTAACTTTCTGTCCCGAGGTACAAGCTCTTCCTGCTTCCACAGCCACGAAAGATTTGCTGTAAATCTCAGTGGAAATGCAAAAGGACTCTACCTGGAGCTCCTTTCTCTACATCCTTCTGTTTTCCCATCCTGTCTAAAGCATTCAGGCACCTTCA